GCACACAAACAATTTCATCTGGTACGTGTGACCTCGTGTTTACAACGATAGCGACATAGCCAGCTCATTGTAGTTCCTCCTATACTCAAAATGTGCTACAGTAACATCATTTGCAGTTACAGCCGTTACAGTTGTTACAGCAAACAGTTTTTGATGAACAAATACCATCTTTTGAATAATACCATCATTTGATGAACAAATACCATCTTTTGAATAATACCATCATTTGATGAACAAATCCAAATGCCTGACACGACCAGCATGATGAGAAAGTTCTGAATGAACGTGCGACAATTACCCGTTAGTCATCAATGACGATTTGTACGATAATTGAAAAGTTTTTTTGTTTGTTTTGTTTGTCTGGTGTTTAACGCCGCACTCAGCAATATTCCATCTATGTGATGGCGGTTTGTGAATAATCGAATCTGGACCAGATAATCTAGTGACTGACATCATGAGCATCAATCCACGCAATTGGGATACAATGACATTCATCAACCAAGTCAGTGAGCCTGACCACCCGATCCCGTCAGTCGACTCTTACGACAATCATAGTAGCCTGTTACGGCAAACATGGGTTGCTGAAGACTTATTCTAACCCGGATCTTCCCTGGTATAATTTAAAAGTGATTGTATTGATCTTGAATAGGTGCGAAAGTAAATTCATAATTATGTTGCTGCAGAATGTTGCTGACTGTCACTGTCAGTCTAGAGGCGATAGTTTCTATGTGCATGTCTTCGTCATGTTTACTGGGATGTGTCGCAGCGAGGATAATCGACCACGGGCAAGAGTGTTAACTGACTTTAAAAGTCAAGTTTCCATCCTTGCCGAACATGGCTGGAATTCCTGAGCTCCATCGTAGCGCCACCAGTGGTTATTACGAGTTATGTCCCTTCTATGCCTCTCCTACTGACCAATCCGATTCCACCTCTCGTATCACTTGCGTTTGCTTCGAACAAAATGGCGGCGCCCGGTCAAGACGATCTGGTCGATAATCAAGATCTATATTGTGTTAAAACGGGTCTTACATCGCCAATTGCATCAAATTACATGAGCACCTTGATTAAAAACATGAAAAGATTTGGAAAATATCTGTTGACAAGGAGTGGTCGGTGCACATGCTTGGCAAATCCTGCAATCGATCGACAAAAAAATTCTTTCGCAAGTTTTATCAATTGAAAATTGTGTTGTTTGATAAAGGTTACAACATTCAAAATGTTTTATGGCAGAATCGTTGTGGCCATTTCCAAATTTTACACATCGGTAACAAAAATGAAGCCCGATGCAATTCGCTCTTATGTTTATTTGTATGTTGTTTAACGCCGCACTCAGCAATATTCCAGCAAAATAACGGCGATCTATAAATAATTGAATCTGGACCAGACAGTCCAGTGATTGACATTATGAGCATCGATCAACGCAGTGAGGGTACGATTACATGCACCCTATGCACTATATGGTCCCGCGGTGTTTTTTCAGGTGAACAATTGACTTGCCCTTGCATGTGTTTGTGACGGGTGCCATCGGTAAGGCAGGATACACACCTTTGCACGAACACCTGGTGTCATCAAAATATGATAGTAATTCATAAACACATGCTTGTGATATACCCGGAATTGTACAACCGTCTCCATTTTTAGCAAAAACTTCTTATGAATACAGAAGGGGGCACGGCTGTCCCAGTCGTCTAAGCCGCAGCGATTCCCTGTGCAGAGTTGCGTCCCCTGGGTACGCCAGAAACCTATGATTGTTGGTTCGAATCCCGGTTCGACCCGATTATGTTTCTAGGTTTGTCAGCCGTGCTCGTGGGTTTCACCGAAATGGTAAACGTCCGAGACCTGCATCACTTCGGGCTTTTCATTAAGCTGACACGCCGTGATATAACTGGAATACTGTTAAAAGCGGCGTTAAACACAACTCACTCACTATGAATACAGAAAGAGTTTGTTCGTTTTTACTATCATTGGTGTTCTCAAATGTAAAATAATAACTTTGTATATATAAATATATCTGTATCGCTCATCAAATGTACCAAACACACTTTTATTGCGAAATTGTAAAATGAATGGCAGTATAAAATGCTGCAATCTATTCAATGGTCCCGGATATTTCACTGCACATGAATGCATTTCATGATGATTTTCGCAATCCCCGATCTCACAACTGTGAAAGAGTACTACGGAACAGTACTGATGACCTTTATATTTTACAATGTCGATAAACTTTCCGTATTCAGATCTCTCATCGAAAACAAGAAATTTTATGTCCGTAGTAAACACTCGTTGTGAAGACTCATCTACTCCCAGTATCTCTGAAATCACTTTTATTAATTTTATATTTCATGAAGGATGTAGGAAATTGACCTTTATATACATACAAGTATTTCAGGTAGAGTCTAACATCACGAAACAGTTAGTATAATAAAGTATGATGACTGTTAAGTTAGAAATATATCTATTTGTAGGTGTCATACGCATGTTCAATCAGGCGGCTTGCTACAATACTACTTGAAGGTGTAAAAGACCACCTAATTCTTTCCTTTTACCATACGTAATATGTCGTGCATTGACACATTAACTATAGCATTATATACGAATCGTGTTCTTTAACTTATTTTGAGTAGTATATATATCTAATATATATCGATATACCCTTCATTGCAAAACTGATGCCGCATCTCTTGTCATGGGATAACATACTACTTCCTGGTAATCATTCTGAGACGGCACATGTGGTTCTGGCGACGGAAGGAGAGCTAACAATGAGTGGCAGCACTCCAAACACATTCGATTTAGTTTAGCAAAAAAACAAATGTCAACGTGATCTTGATAACTCATATACCAGATATTGACCGCATAAAAACTATATAATTGCTTTATAATATGGCCGTTTCATCTCATGAAAAAACACACCAAAAAACCAAAAGCTTGATATAATATGACAAGCCCCCGGTCATGCTTACGACTGCGGACTGACAGCAATGAAATGACATGTTGTGGAATGTCGGCAACAGCTTCCAATCTTTACACCCAGAACCAGCCAACCTAGTCAAAACCGTTTTCGTTTGACTGCAGTGTGACCACTTCTAAATCAATATGACAGGCGGAATATTTGAATGATATTAAAGAAGTGGCTGCTGTCCACTCCATCAATCCACTCGCTTGTTAATTCGTTGTAGGATCGTAGAGGCTAAACAACTCATTTCCTCATTACTTAATATGTTGTCTTCAGTGGACCCGACATGTGTTCTGAACGTTTGGTCCAGATCCTGATCAATCAGTGGTCAGAGGACTCGAAGGAGTGAAACTGCATGTCGTGTGAAGGTTCAGCCTGCAGCATTCCTGGTGGCACGTGGTCCTGTGCACAGCGCACAGGTCACAAATCAGGTGAAGTTAAGCAACGTCGGTCGCGGAGAGTCCTTGGATGGGTGACCGTGTTCGGCTGCTTGACTCCTGGGAGTTGCAAGGGCTTCGGTCCTGCCCCAAACTGAAGCACGTGTAACACATGTGGCGTCTCCTTGGCATGTGATTTTGGTGGGAATGTGCCTCTGTTCACCCAGCAGTGAATGGGTACCCGGTAGGTTGAGATTGCAATGTGGTTGTTAACCTTCTAGGGCCAAACAGGTAGCTTGGGTTCAATACTCCCCAGGGAGCTGAGAAGGATTCTTGAGTGCACACTGATCCAGTGACCGGGGTAATAATAGCTTTCAGCATGCCCTGGTGTGGAAATATGCGCAATATAAATATATTATTATTATCGTTATTATTATTATTATTTACTCCTACGATCAGTCAGGGTTCGATGACATGCTAATACCAATTCACAGAGTCCACTGCCTGACCACACGATCGGCTTAAGGTAAGGTGAAGTGGGGTTTTATCAACGGTTCAAGGTTATTGCATTTAAATAGCGACATGCATGCATGTGTGGGGCTGCTTGTACTAGCTCGCTGAGAAAACATGAGTGAGTGAGTTGGGTTTAACGCCGCTTTGAACAGTATTCCAGTTATACCACGGCGTGTCAGTTTAATGCCAGAGGAAAGCTAGAAGTGATCCAGTTCTGAGACGTTTACCACCTTGAGCGCCCCCGAGCACGGACATGGTGCTGACAAACCTAGAAACATAAACGGGGCGAACCGAGATTCGAACCATATAATAGGTGTGGCGTGCCAAAGGGACGCAACTCTACTTATCGAATTACGGCGCCTAAGACAATTGGGCCACCCTGAGATATCATGCCGCAGTTTAACATGGATACCCCGTTTAGATACAGTATACTAACTCCAAGTCAGCCAGTATTTGTTTTATCCCTTAATGCCGACTAGCAGGCAGGGTAACAACACGTACCATATTATAACGTGTGTTTGTTTTTTTGTTTTGTTTGTGCTGTTTAACGCCGCACTCCGCAATACTCCAGCAACATAATTGAGTCTAAACCAGACAATCAAGTGATTGTTATCATGAGCATCGGATCTGTGAATATCCGGGCTAGAATAGGTCTTCAGCAACCCATGCTTGCCGTAAAAGACGACTATGCTTGCCACAAAAGGCGACTAATGGGATCGGGTGGTCAGGCTCGCCGACTAGGTAGATGCATGTCATCGTATGCCAATTGCGTGGATCGATGCTCATGATGTCAGTCACTGGATTGCCATGTCCAGACTCGATTATTTACAGACCGCCGTCATATAGCTGGAATATTGCTTAGTTCGGCGTTAAACAACAAGCAAACAAACATGAGCATCGATCCACGCATTTGGGATACATTGAAATGCATCTACCAAGTCAGCGAGCCTGACCACCCGATCCCGTTAGCCGCCTCTTACGAACAAAGTCGCCTCTTACGACAAGCAAGGGTTGCAGACGCTCTATTCACTAGACCGTGGAGGGGGTTTGATGGACTTGAACAAGCATGACGTACTGAGGACGCATCCTTCACCTGAAAACCCACAAGGGGTTCTTAAGGATGGGAAGTATCTAAGTATTAAACGAATAAGGGATAGGTATAAAATGTCAATTTTATTGAGCAAGTAGAAAACAATAAATCAAGTATCATTGAATGTGTGAATCAGTTCATCATCAAGTCATCATACAAATACACTGTCTATATGCATGCGATCATAAACAGTATAATATTTACAAGGATTACTGCAAGGGCGAATTGTACATGTTTTTTACACGTGTTATATTACAGTATGGTGGAACGCAAATCATAAAAGAAATCTCGCTTCTTTCCAGTGCGTATCGTCTTCGCAAACGAAAGCAACGGCGCTGAAACATCGACATGATTTAATTACCTCATAAAGGATTTCATCTCGAATACAATCTTGATACAATCTGACACGTGATATGTCGTGGCTTAGAAACCAATTAATGAAACAAATATGAACAAAAGGCTGGTTATAATTGAATGATTTGTTTCAAACGGAAATAAACCATCGAATAAATGAGAAAACAATCTATTTTCATATTCTCTTCAGAAATACGATTTAATTTAAATCATTTAAAACAAAGACCAACTCAAAATTAATCCTAGGTCTAAATATTAATTTAAGTATATAACTGCCGCTAACATTGCACAGGAAGGATTCTAGTGTTCAGTAGCTACAAGAAGCACCACACTGCAAGTTGTGCACACATCTTCAGCCAGAATATTGCTGGAAAGAAAATCCCTAATACATTATTATCAATCACACCGGATTATTTGTTTCTGAAAGGCACGGGTGTTACATGTTTCTATCATAGACCTTGTACTGAAGCATATCATAGGTCATGTTCCTTCACATCATGCTCGCACGGGAACCAGTAAACCTTTACTACTTAAGCAGGTAAATAGATTCATGCCACATGCCCTTAACATATAGGGTCGGAAGGTTTTATTATGCTTTTATTCTACAAAATCACATGAGACTTATTGACTACAGGGTACTGATTTACACAGTTCAGGGTAACAAAATGGATCGTTTGGGTTACTGAAAACACAAGTAATCATTTCCCCGTCACGTGTCGTGATTCAGTATTTAATGAGTTGATTACCTAGCATAGTACTTCAGTAGCCACAAGGCTGGGAGGCTGGGTTAAACTCATAAGCTGAAGCGGACAATATCTCAATAGACTAACCACAGCCAAGCGGTGAGTAATCAACTTGATTTAATACAGTCTTTGGCATAACGCGATAATGCCTATGTCTGCAAAAACGTCTCCCATCCAAACATTTGCTGCATGAGTTATCAGTACATCGCAAAAACCGCATGTGGAAAAGCGGCTTGGCTGTGCCAAGTCACAGAGGCATAAATACAGTAAACGATGCAATTACTTTGAGTAATGAAACAAAATCGTGACAATTACTGAACGAATCAATCGCGCCAGCTTGGCGGGAGAATAGAGTTAATATCACAAAAGCATGTACCATGTTTTCCGGTATTATCGAAATAACCATGGAAACGGATTCAATAAAATAAATTCAATAAAAATCCAACTGAGATTTCAGCTGTGTGACGGCATTACGTCACTAATTGTAGGTCTCCCACATCAATCATGTGTTGTGACGTGAATATGACGTAACCATGGTAACAGTGGACTAAAACATTAACCGGAATACAGATCCGGAACTGACATCCATCATATTTTCGGCAAAACAGTCAAAAAATAAGGGTTTAAGTATGTAGAGTACAACCTACTTTAACCCAAACTTCATAGCGTATGAAGGTGAGGTGAAATTGGGTTTAACGTCGCGTCCAAGGTTATTGCACTTATATAGCGACGTGCATGCAGGTGTATGTGTGGCTGCTGGTCGATCTAGTCCGGTCGATTTATCGTGCTAGCCCACTGAGATACCATGCCACAGTTTAACATGAATTCCCCACTCAGACACAGCATACTGACTCCGAGGCGACCAGTTGTGGTTTTAGCCCCTTACTGCCGGGCGCCAGACAGGGTAACAACAAGTACCATCTTTTAACATCTCTTAGTATGACGCGGCCGGGAATCGAACCCCGGACCTTTCGCTCTCCAGGCGAACGCTCTACCACGAGACCACCGAGGCGGTCTCATAGCGTATGAATAAATGAAAACTGGTTTAGGATCGTGTAATGGGAGCGTGCAGTGTTTTTTTCAGATAGAGTGAGTGGGTGAGTTGGGTTTAACGCCGCTTTGAACAGTATTCCAGTCACATCACGGCGTGTCAGCTTAATGTGGGAGGAAAGCCCGAAGTGAATCAGGTCTCAGACGTTTTCCACTTCGGTGAAACCCACGAGCACGGGTATGGTGCTGACAAACCTTGAAACATATTCGGGGTGACCCGAAATGGAACCACGATCATAGGTTTCTGGTGTGCCCAAGGGACGCAACTCTACACAGCGAGCTGCGGCGTTTGGGTGATGGGGCCACCTGTGCTCCCGTTTCTGATAGAACACAAATTGTATACAGTAAAGTACGGTTATAACGAACTCAAAGGGACTACTAATTTTAGTTCGTTATAACCGTAGTTCGTTATAAGCATATATACAGCATAACTACAGCAAATAGTCGGGACCAAAAAGTAAGTTCGTTATATCCGTCAGTTCGTTATAAGCGTGTTCGTTATAACCGTAGTTTACTGTATATAGTATAACTGATAATGCCCGCAGGTAATAAGATCGGCTACACATGATAATCAGCAACAATTAAACAAGCTCGTGGTAATTAGCCCACATATCGGTGGGGGCAAATCAGGGTTGGGGATGATGCACTGAGATTGATGTGGGAAGCTCAAGGCAGGGGAACGTAGTAACGTGAGCACCGTAGGTCAAATGTGTAACAATAACAAGCAGCCAATCACAAACAGACACGTGTCACGCAGTGGTAGGATCAAGTAACAATAACAATGGATCAACTGTTACTAAAGAGACATGAGTTGATCACTAAAATATTTGATCGCAAATGAAATTATAACGGTATTACGCTATCACGTTTCGTCTATTCTTTATTTTTTTGCTTCCCGTATTTTCGTCCACTGTAAGATTGGGTCATTTGTTTCAACTCGGAAGATTCCGTCACAGACATAAAACATTAAACCTCGGGGAGCAATGGAGCTGTGATATTGCAAGCTTTCAAAGTAAACCGTATACCGACTGCTCCGTATACATTTAGCTCATAAGGCCGATTTTGAACGTGATTCATGGAAATTTGATATACAATTCCGTAGGAAGCAACATTTATAAAAGGAACACGGCCATTGTGTAATGTGACAGTCACGTGAACTCGAGAAACTAGGGAATACACCGCCAATATGGATTCCTCCCAGTGCAGGCCGAGATAGTCTGTTGTATTGAGACGTGCCGAATGAAAGATGGATATTTGATGACTGGCATCAATAGCACGATAGCGGATCTTGTCTAACATTTTGCTCCAACCAAAACCCAAAAGACATCAGATTTATGCCCAGGGCTTGATGCGACCCGAATGAAAAATGGACCCCTTAGGTATATTGAGTTGTAATAGTGCATAACGCTCTAAGCATTATGTAATTTATCAATTTCACAAAAAGACGCTTTTTGGATTTTTGTTTGTAATCCTGATAAAATAATTCACGGCAAACGAAAAAAAAATTCAGTGGTGTAATAGCTGGGAAAGGACGTAAAACATTTAATCACTTATACCCCATTTCTCTCTCATAATATGCTTACATTAAGATACATTTGGCAGAAGGAAATAATTTGGTCTTAAACATAATTATCAATATTTTTAGAAATTAAACAAATATATTAATAACGCATCACATGTACATAAAACATCCAAGCCTTCATAAAGCATGCAAGCACAAGGAAATATTAAAGCATCATTTCAAATCTACAAATCACCCAAGAAAATGTTTTCAGAGAAAGGAAAACATGAAGATTGCATTTGCCACGTCTTTCATGATCAACTCAGACGGGACTTGTAAGTTCAAACGTTTGAAATTAAACATACCACGTACGGTTGTATTATGAATAATATATAGTGTCAAATGCCTATTAGGCTCCATTTACGACTAGACGAAAGCAATCAATTCAACTTCAACAACCATATCAATATTTTTTCTAAATTATGTGCTCAATATGAACAACATATACGTCCGTGTGCGGTGAGATCAGAAGTACTGAAGAACAAATCGCTTCATTAACGGAACTCGTGATTGGAGCGTCCGTAAAATACGACCAAAGAAATCTCACATATTCATCCTGTCAAACAACGAATTCCAAATAGCATTCTGGTTCCTATTACAAAAGGAAAGTATCCAAATATTGTTTAAAACATATAGAAAACTCCAAGCCTATAACAGACAGCATGCTTGAGAAACAACGTTGTTTTGTGAGTAATAAATTTCATTTGCCATATATAATATGAGTATGTAGTTACATATACTTGTTGCTAATTGCTTCATGTATCCATAAAGACATTTGGACCAGCATGCATGTCATCATAAAACCTGACATTTATACATTTATGACTATAATTCTACACAGACGGTCGTATCAGTTGGCAATTGCTTACAGTATTGTCTGGCAATGTTGATCAAGTCTGGACACGTGGATGGAGATTGTATATCTAGAGAGTTATGCGCGCACCTTCAGCTGTAAAACGTCATCCAAACATCTAACCTTTGAACACGATGACAGGTTTTAATAAAAATATCAAATATAAACTAGAAAAGGTCATCAAATTGTAGATTGTAACAATAGCGTTAAATATATCGCAAAAACTCTATTATACATTTTTTTCAAAAACATTTATAAACATTTTATATAAATACATCATGTACATAATGTATTAAATTATGTTTGGTTTTTAAAGATGTGCTGTACAAAAATCAAACTTTATACAATATTATACAATTTATCTTACAGAAAAAACGTTATGTGTGTGTAGTATTGATGTGACTATTTCAAACGAGTTAATTGCATGCTCATGACGTCAGTCCATCACTCTGGCCTCACAGCCGATGATGCATCGTTTCCCATTTAATTAGTAGATTGAGGACAGTTTCCTGTCATGAATACAACATTGGGGTACGATTACATCTTAGTAGAATACCAAATACTAGCAATATCAGCCCGAAGAAGAGACAGATAAGCTTATAAGAGGTATCTGTTTATATATCCATATTCATTTGGTTTGGCGTACATAATTGGGTTGATGACCTCTTTACCATGCACATTTCTCAAGAAAGATAACACACCGTTGTTTGGTCACTACCGGAGGTCAATTTGAGGGAAATATTCAGTCGCCATAACCCAGGGTAAAATCCACTTACAGACAGCAATCATATGTCGTTATCCCTCCAAAGTAAATAGCTTTCTGGTCCATAGATAGCAGATAGTCGATATCTAAATGTCATTAAGGTTCAATTTTATTTCCCGGATCTGCGGAAGAAAACATCATTTAATGCTCATATAACAGGGTGCTTATGTTTAACCATAACCCGTTATCATACGACCATTGTTTATATAATGAAATACTTGAGAACACTGCTTCCACCAGAGCGTATGGTAATGTCACCGACACTGTTGTAAGAGTTCGTGATTCTGTATGAATATTCCTTCAGCTTGACTAATCCAACAGCTTGGTTATGCCATGACCAGAAGCCTTGATTGACAGGTGGGGATATTGTCACCACCGCAGGGCTGAATATCCATGCATAATGCTGACGATGGTCCCATAATAACACACATGGTCATCCATAGTTAGATCGCCCGAGGAAGATATGCCGTATGCTTCTATTAGGGCAAATCACTGTACTTAGGTCGCTCGCGTTTTCTTAGACATTCCGGTTCTTAGAATACTATTACCTCTAACGATGTTGTTCCATCTTCTTTGAAGTGGAGTATCTTCAAATACCATTCTTACAACCAAAATAGTAATCAATTCCATCTTATTTATCAATTGGGGACACTAAACGTGCAATGTATTGTAAACAGCACAACGATGCCTCTTAATGTAAATAAACCCCAAACAAGCACGTCCACAAGCGTCACCGAAACGTTCTCCTTCAAATTCGTTTCAAGGTGGTGATGATAATTATTATCAACAATCACATCATAACGTAAACACACAAAGTTCCTTTGGTAAACACCGTACACACAGCCTTGGCTGAAACGCCAGCGTAAGCACTATTCCTTTGCACTTTGTCACGACCTACAAGAATCCGGCGTTGCATAGTCATTGTCTATAAGATAGGGTGGAGTCTTGCCGTTGAGCTTGTCAGGCTCGGCGTAGTGGCTCTCCTCCGGGTTGCCGTAGTTTAATCTGCCGTAGCTGGGATCCGGCTTGATCGGCTCGGAGCCTTGGAGCTGCTTCAGCTGGATCTGGTCATACTTCTCCTCCGGGGTCTCCAGCTCGAAGTAGATGTTCTCTGGCTGAGGCGGGTTGTACTCGCGGTGCTGTCTGTGAATCAGAAGGATGAGACATCATGAAAAAGTACATAGTCATTGTGTTGGAAAGATGTATACTACTCTAAAGAAGTTAAAGAACATCCACAATTGAAGGGTTGGGTGTTGCAATACCATGACATGATCTATAGTCATATGAAACAATCGGGTGTTCGTTAACCTCTTTTGAGAAGCGTATATTCATTTGAGAATCGTTTTTTTCCCTTTCCAGACGTCTAGACGTCCCTGCAATATGTCGTTGGGGTGGGGGTGGGTGGTGGTGGTGGGGTGAACTTCGCGTATTGTCCACATCTTAGCACTTGGACGAGGTCTACGCTTCCCCGCCGTTCTTAGAAACAGTTTCCAACATCATCATCATAGTAAAGACCCTTCTGACTTTTGGCTGAACGACTTCTTTTTTGTGTTTCTTGTCATCCGACCAACCTAACTTAATTTTACTGCCGACAGGAAATCCAAACCATTTCTGTCATTTACGCGGACCAAACGGACATTGAGAATTTGTCGATTAGGACAATGAGAGTTATTTTACTTTTAAAGGACGCCAGAGTTGTAATCCTTGCTGCGACGAAAGCAACTACCCATTTTGAAACATTTTCCTTACTAACCGACCGTTGGGAGGGATACCTTGCACAACATGTTTAATGAAGATTTAGTAATTGGATATTCAAGATGTTTACATGGCGTGTTGAAGAATTAAGTTTGTTACTGTTGTGTCGAAGTTGACATAAGAATGTCGAGACAACCGGATACAGCTGGTGAATAAAGGCGAGGGAAAGAGCGAGTTAGAGTTGGGTTCAACGCTGCAAGTTGTATCACGTTGGGTCAGCCAAGTTCAGGCTCTGAGACCAAATGGGTTTAGATGTGACCTTGGTGAAACCCCAAAGAACGAGTTTGCAGACAACGTTCTTTGTTGTTTGACGCCGGGATGTCTGTTAATATTATGGACCAAACAATCCAGTGATCGATATTGTGAGCAACGATTCCCACCGTCGGAGACATGCATCAACCAGGTCACCGAGCCTGACCGCCCGCTTCGTTTGGTTGCCTCGTACAACCAACACAGGTTGTAGTGGACCTAACCCGGAAACCTCACGGGAACAATGAAACATAATAGAGGTAAAGATTTTTAATAAACGCATCGCCGCGAATACGGGACGCAACTCGGCACAGTAAATTTCGAATGAGTATTGTTTTACGCCGCTTTTAGCTTTATTCCAGCAATATCACGGCGGGGACACCAGAAATGGGCTTCACACATTGTACCCATGTGGGGAATCGAACCCGGGTCTTCGGCGTGACATGCGGACGCTTGAACCAATAGGCTACCCGACCGCCCCCAATGACTTTCGAGATCTTGGACCACAGGTGAAGAAAGTTAGTCATCCCTGTGTGAACTAACGCCCTTTTCATCACAATGAGGGAAGCTTTATCTCGTGATGGTTCGTGTGCCGTATATTAACTATTGAAGATGAGGTGAGGTGAGGTGAAATTGGGTTTAACGTCGCGTCCAAGATAATTGCACTAATATAGCGACGTGCATGCACGTGGGTGTGTGTGTGTGTGTGTGTGTGTGTGTGTGTGTGTGTGTGTGTGCTTGTACTAGTCCGGACTGATGCCGATTGATAGTGCTAGCACACTAAGATACTATGCCGCGGTTTAACATGAATACCGTATTCAGACTCAGTATACGGACTCCGAGCCGACCAGTCCTTGTTTTAACCCCTTAATGCCGAGCGCCAGACAGGGTAACAACAAGTACCATCTTTTAACGTCTTTTGGTATGACGCGGCCGGGAATCGAACCCCGGACCTTCCGGGTGGGCGCTCTACCAACAGACCACGAAGGCGGTCTCGACTGAAGATGAAGTCCTCAAAGCACAATATATTATCAATGTCCCGTCCCGTCCCCAGCCTCTAATAACCCAGGTCACGCCTCCATTTAACACAAACATGAACTGTATTACCTTTGATGAAGACATAACACCACCCTAAATCATCGACTTGATAGTCGTTGGTCTAGACAAACGTCTTCGGATAAAGTCCAGGGTTTAATTTGAGAGGACCATTGTCAGACGGTAGGAATAAATTAGGTTGGTCCGTCAACAGAGCAGCTGATTAAATTCCTTCAAGAGACTTGTCTGCACTCCTAGTTGGTCTGCGTGTCTTCTAATTGATTTCATTAAAACACAACTTGTCACGAACACATATATCCGTTAACAGATCAGTCAATTAAGTACTAGAGATGGTAGTGTTTTTCAGCAACAAACTGGCACGAAAATAAACTTGTACTTCGAAACCTAACGGTTAAACGGTTTGGGATCTCCAGATACATGAGGTGTGCGGATTAACGGGGTGGATGGAGACTAAATGTGTACACTTACCTTTTCTTACAGAGCGCAACGATGGTCACAATGATCCCAGTGAGTATCACAGCACTGATAATAGCTATCACTATAGCTTCAGGTAGCGTTCCTAGAAAACATCAAATGTTTATTGATCAATGAAATCAGATCCATGATTCGCCGCGAATGGCCCTGAAATTGTTGATGCGGCGTTCAAACATTGGTGGTTGAAACTGAGGAATCTTTTTCGTTGCAGAAAAATATGATCGTCAACAAGCCGTATTTGTTGTAAAACGGATCAGGCCCGTTTCACAAAGCGATCGTAGCGCAACGATTATCTGTAGTGAAGTATCTGGATAACGATGGTCCTAGAGCTAAGACCGCTGTGTGGATCGGGGGTCCTGGGCCCTGTTCCATAAAGCGACCTTTTGATACGTTGATCGTAAGCCTATGATAAGGTATGGGAGTTACGACCAACTTAGCACTAAGATCGCTTTGTGGAAAAGGGCCCTGGTAACCAACTCGACTGGGTCCACCAAGGCGGTATCATTAAAAAAGTGAATGTTTGTTTGTTTGTTCGTTTTTTAACGCCGCACTTAGCAATATTCCAGCTTTATGTGACGGCGGTATGTAAACAATCGAATCTGAACAAGACAATCCAGTGATTGACATCATGAGCATCGATCTCCGCAATTGGGATAATATGACATGCATAAACCACGTCGGCGAACCTGACCCACCGATCCCGTTGGTTGCCTCTTACGACAAGCATAGTCGTCTTTTACGGCAAGCATGGGTTGCTGAAGATCTATTCTACCCCGGATCTTCATGGGTCTCAGGTCAATGTGGGAGGAAGGTCTAAAGCACAATGGTGACGTACACATTTATTACCATGGTGAAACCTCAGACTTCGGGTATTGAGCTGACAGACCAATCCTTATCCGGGATTCGGACCCCAATCACCTGATTCTCGTGTGGCCAGGGGAGGCAACTCGAATAATGAACTGGGGCTACCGGGAAATCTGTGCAACTCTCAGCCAGAAGAGCTATAGAAGTGAATTTATTGTAACAGAGAAGTTGTAATAGAGTAGTGGTTTTGTGGAATGTCTTCTTTTTATCTCCTGACCCGATGAAAGTTATAATGGACAAACTAGATTATTTTAGAAAGCCAACAAAGAGTAAGCGTTAACATCCGGTCGCAAGACTGATCATATTCTGATTCGCATTTCCTCGGCAATGCAAGACACTCGAACGTGTGAAAAGCAATTTGTAACCTGAATATTTCAGAGCAAGTAATACTGGTCATGATCATGTGTGCACGTTTGCGTTTTTTGCCTGAGAGAATTTTAAACCAGTGATTGACGCAGCGGATGATAACCTGGCTCTATGGGGGACATGGTGTGAAGACTACGGCAGGAGGGCTGGAGTGACGACTTACCGTTACTTTTCTCTGTTGTCGGCCCATTACAAGTTACCGTTACTCGAGTTCTGTTGGATGTGCCTGAAAAACAAAACAAACCAAACTTTGTTTGTTTGTTTGTTGTTTAACGCCGCACTCAGCAATATTCCAGCAATATGACGGCGATCTATTAATAATTGAATCTGGACCAGACAGTCCAGTGATTGAAATTATGAGCATCGATCAACGCAGTGAGGGTACGATTACATGCACCCTTTGCACTATATGGAGTCTGGACCAGACAAACCAGTGATCGATATTGTAAACAACGATCCACGCCGTAGGGGTACAATAAAACGAAAAAATAAAAAATGAATATGGATGACCAGAATGAGTGAGTATGATTTTACGCCGCTTTAAGATATATTCCAGCAACATCACGGCGGGGTATACCAGAAATGGGTCTCACACATTCTACCCATGAGGGAAATCGAACCAGGGTTTTCGGCGTGGCGTGTGAACGCTTTAACCACTGAGCTACCCCACCGCCGCTTGATGACCATAATACTCCTACATATTACACACCCAACTTTTAAAGAACTATCAGATCTTTTTGGTGGTATATGTAAAAGTTACAGCATTGCTTAAGAATGACTCAATGCCGCTTTGGACAAAACAAAAGTTTAGAGAGTGAGCTAAATGACATGGTAAGTCACGCAGGCCATAGATAATTCCACGTAGGTGAAACCAACCAAGGATCATAATCAGCTCCGTCCAGCAGATCCTAGCACCTATAGGGGACGCAACTCTGCGTTGCGAGTTTTGCATTGTTATGCATACTTTGAAATGCGGTAGACATGTAACGACCCTTTTTCTCTGAAATCCTCAATATCCTTTTTTGTAATAACCTTGAGTGTAATAAAGTTCTGTTCTGTCATTTTCTGTTCGGCCCCTTGGCGTAAGTTTCTAACTGTTCGCCCCCACCTGTCTGTGTCCATACCAGGCTCTACCGCCGGGGAAACGTATATCCGACCTCTTGGAAGAATTTTACCTACCTGCTATCTGCAACCACACAAAGGACGGATAGTCTTTTTTCTTTATTGGTCCGAGCGATATGCGAATGTCTCTGGACCCGGTCGTATTCAACACAGGAACCCCGAATATGAATTCCTTGTCAAGGCAAAAAATGTTTCTAAAAATTTGATTTTTATTTTTTGCATCCACTACACTAAGTTTGGTGTAGTGACACTCCATATCGTCTGTCTTATCCTGAAGCCGGATGTCCAATGCTGTTATTTTGATTGGCTCTGAGCCAGATGACGTCACCTGGCACGAGCAGTCATGTAGTGTTTTCTCATCACTATCATCAGCTGTTGTCTCGTCGTATCGGAGGCTGACAGTATGGCCGGTAATTGACCTAGATTCACAGAATCCAATACTCGCAGTATCTGTAAAAGAAGGACAAATGGCTATTTGATGCAGGTGTAATGGCAAAATAAACCGTATTTATGCCTTGAGAAAAACTACTTGTCAAGAAGGGCTCGTTGTTGAAAATGTCACAGCTAGGATGCACTTACTATCGTACATAAAATGAGGAACTTGAAACCAATTTACCAAGACTAAGGTTGTAAATGGGCTCATAAAACAGATGAATTGAATTGAATCAGTCTCAATCAATGACGAGGATGTATGGATGAGGTACGACAACATGAGATCACCATCTGCAACATCGTCATGGGCGAGAGGAGGACGGCCAAGACGCAGGAAAGTAGTTGAACGACATCATCAAATGCATATATAATAGTGACAAATTAAGACAAATATAAAATGGGATCAAGAACTGACACCAAGTGATGTCTCGTTGGAGTTCAGTTCATGTGATCACATCTGTTATAAACGTAACATTATATGATAGCATTTGTTAGTTTGTTTTTTGTTCAACACCGCACTCAGCAATATTCATGCTATATGACGACGGTCTGTACATAATCGACCAGACAATCCAGTGATTGACATCATGAACATCGATCCACGCAATTGGGATACGATGACATGCATCAACCAAGTCAGCGAGCCTGACCACCCTATCCAGTTAGTCGCCTCTTACGACAAGTATAGTTGCCTTTTAAGTCTTGCATGGGTTGCTGAAGATATATTCTACCCAGGATCTTCATGGGTCGCGTTGCATGTGAGGAACACGTTATTGGAAACAGGTTGCAGTCGGGTTCACATTATTAAGGCAAAGAGGAAGGGGTGAGTGAGTGAGTTTGGTTTTACGCCGCTTTTAGCAATATTCCAGCAATATCACGGCGGGGGACACCAGAAATGGGCTTTATATATTGTATCCATGTCGGGAATCGAACCCGGGTCTTCAGCGTGACGAGCGAACGCTTTAACCACTAGGCTACCCGACCGCCCTAAAGAGGAAGGGAATGACTCATGATGAATCATGATCTGTTCGAAACACAGATCAGCGGATCCTGACGCGGATAAGGGAAGCAACTCTGCACCGCGACGGCACCATCCTCCCCTCTCCTAGATTCATTGAAGCTGAAACTCGTATACAGATTCCGTAAACATAATACAGTTACGCACATATGCTTTCTTACCTCAGCATTAAATAACATATTTAGCCAAACGATATTGCATACTTAGCATCCTCTCTATTGCATATATACATAGGCTGAATTTTACCTTGATACAAAATGGTGAATCACGTCATGTGACGTCACACACTTAGACGTAGAAAGGAATCTACAAATTCAAAGCATTGGACATCCGCAAAAGTCACTCACGACATTGAGAATACGCTTAATAAAACAGCACATGCAATCTTTAAGGTTGACTTCCAAGAATCTGATCCGGCTAAGATCGTCTCAGGGGTAGCGTAATTATTACTCGTTGAACTATGAAAGAAACGCGGTATTTTATGAATATTTTATGTCGTTATTAATTATCTGTCGTGACAATGAGACTGAAAGGCATAACGCCCTGCCTCAAACTGTGTTATAACGACGCAGTGTACATGTTCGAACAAACGCAGACCAAATACACATTTATCTTGTTGAAATAACAGAAACACTTCATATTTCACTTCAGTTGAAACTGTCAAAACCGGACTCCGGCTAATCCGGATATATGTGAAAACTTGGTTGAAAAAACTTCTACGTCACGTTAAATCATGTAACGCAGACCTCTGTTCTTACAAGGGGCGGTCGGGTAGCCTACTGGTTAAAGCGTTCGCTCGTCACGCCGAAGACCCGGGTTCGAATCCCAACATGGGTACAATGTGTGAAGCCCATTTCTGGTGTCCCCCGCCGTGATATTGCTGGAATATTGCTAAAAGCGGCGTAAAACCAAACTCACTCACTCACTCTGGTCTCAAAAACCACCCGGGCTTCATTCGTGGTCTTCTGGACTGCAATTGTGGGACACAGAGTGAATTAATACTATATCTGACGTGGCCTTTTCCGGATTAACGTTTCAATATGGCCAGTGTGTTTGGGCAAGTCAGTTTTGTTAGATGATGTGAGGTGAAATGGGGTTTACCGTCGCGTTTAAGATTATTGCACTCATCTAGCGACGTCACTGCACGTGTGTGTGTCTGTGTGTGTGTGTGTGTGTGTGTGTGTGTCTGTGTCTGCTTGGACTAGCCCCGACTCATGCAGATTTCATAGAGCTAGCCTACCGAGATACCATTCTGCAGCTTAAGATGAACACCCTACTCAGACACAGTGTCCTGAGTCCATGTTTTATCATCTTTATGCCGAGCGCCAGACAGGGTAACAACAAGTACCATCTTTTGACGTCTTCTGGTATGACGCGACCGGGGATCGAACCCCAGACCATTCGCTCTTCGGGCGGACCCTCTACCTCTAGACGTCGTACCCGATTAGGTAATAAATCCGCTCAAGATATGTAAACACATTCAAGCCGACTTGCAAATGCACAGACAAGCCACGACAAGGCACTACAACACTCTTTGATCTGGGTTGAGTTTATTCTCTATGCAATCTTTTTGCATGTCATTATTTCAGGCTAATTTACATTAGAGGCAAAAACGCCTTCGATAAACGATCCTGGTATAAACATGTGCATTCAACATGATATAACCGCTGCATAATTTGTGACTTGCAAATGTTAACATGACAGCAATCATATTTGCAAGGAGATCCGCTGTGACCTTTACAGTTTATTGTTTTTTGTTTGCTTGTCTTTTCACCGGAAGAAATTCAAAGGCTTTCTCGTAATATCAGTTTCTGAACAATGTTACTGATGATAATATATAACTTGCGTCCTAATATAATACACAACACCATGTTCAATAGTTATACTGAACTTTTCTATAATCCGGCCACATCACTTCGACTTGTAAATAATTAAGTCTCGACCAGGGAATCTGGTTATTGGCAGCAAGAACTACGTTCCAGGAGGGCACTGTGACACAATGTGCCAGGTCACACATTGTAACCATCCGATCGGCATCAGCCGGCTTGCGCCAGAAGCTTTCAGCTTTCCAGATCGTGTGCTATTTCTGTGAAGGTTTTCTGAGAGAGTGTAAATTGATACTATTTTTCAATTTTGATGTCATTAAAACACGAGCCTCCTTGCTGTCAGAACATGTACACGGACGAAAAACGACTCTTTTTTACATACGTCCATAATGACCTTCTAACCGGACGAGTTAAACACTTGATGGATTCTCCCAATGCAACCCCATGGGGTCGACAAATCGACGTGCACATGTGGAAACTGATTGGTGAGTCACGGCTCTATTGTTCGGTAAGTGGTCGAACGTAACATGTCATCAAGTGGTATTGTGCAGCCCAATACAGTTTGACAAGACGGTTAACCAAAATTACGTCACTGAAACAATCGGTGGTCTTCAACGAATGTCTGCATTTCCTAAATTACCATTTCATTGTACAATAATAGAGCTACCTAATAAAGGATTATTTAATTAAACAGTCGTTACCGTTTCCACAGGGCTGTAATTTTATTAAGTGTTACTTAATGAACACGTGGCTAACATTAGACGTTTTACGAGCATTACGTCATTGAAACAATATGTAATCGTTCTGCATTTTCTTTCCTAAAGACTGCCTCTGTGGTCTGGGGGATAGAGCGCATGCTCGGAGAATGGAGGGTCGGTGGATTCGATCAGGCCAAAAGACGTTAACAGATGGTACTTCTGTTTCTGTCTGGCGCTTGGTGACTGACCGGCTTGGTTTTGGTTTGGTTTGTTGTTTTACGCCGCACTCAGCAATATTCCAGCTATATGACGGCGGTCTGTAAATAATCGAGTCTGGACCAGACAATCCAGTGATTTATATCATGAACATCGATCCACGCAGTTGGAATCGATGACATGCATCAACCAAGTCAGCGAGCCGGACCACCCGATCCCGTTAGTCGCCTTTTACGACAAGCATAGTACGGCAAGCATGGGTTGCTGAAGACCTATTCTACCCCGGAATCTTCACGGGTCGACCGGCTTGGAGTCGGGATACTGTGTCAAGGTGGGGTATCCATATTAAAACTGCGACATACTGTCTCAGTGGCCTAGCACAATGCGACTGTAACTAGTCTGCACTAGTACAAACAAACATCATAATTATGTATCCACGTCGCTGTATAAACGTAATATTAATTTAACGCAACGTTAAACCACATCTCAACACCTGCTTGCTTGAAATAGCATTGCGTAATGACCGAGTTGTTTTGTAGAGGAATATTTAATAACAACATAGTTAGGATTGGCACAGTGTTGACCTATGACACCATAACAATGGTTCCCCCGGCTAAATGTTGTGAGTTCAAATAACGCTGGCGGCAGCTTTCTGCATAATTACTCAATCGCCCACAAGTAACAGGACATCAAAATCGTTCAGGCAAGTTCTGGTTAAAGATAATACAACGGTTGTTTAATCACAAGAGTGATCACTCCATTCCTTCAAATATCCAGTAACGATAGATGTGTTTTAGTTTCTGTCGGTCCATCTGCATGTTTATACTGGTATAATGGCGAGCCGCATGTGTCAAATACAGAGAGTGGGTGAGTTGGGTTCAATGACGCTTTGAACATTATTTCAGTTACTTCGCGGGAGGAAAGTCCGAAGTGATGCAGGTCTTAGACATTTACCACTTCGGTGAAGCCTTCGAGCATAGGTACTGTGCTAACAAACCTGAAACATCATCCGAGCTAATCTGATGTTTCAAATGATAAGATTTTGATAGGACTTGGGGACGCAACTCTGAACAGCGTGACAGCAGTCGATGATAGGATGACTCCTAGGGATGCTACCGAGACGAGAATTGCGGCGCCTTAGACGGGGCCGTGTCCCTAGGTGCCTCTTGGTCCCTCTAAGGCATGGCGACTCGTTGTGCAGGGCTGCAATACATTGCGCCATGATGCGATAGGCGCTGGTCGAACCCCAGGTTCGCCCCGATAGGACCGTTCTGTCGTCAGCACCACGACGGTACGTCTACGACCTATTCCACACGAGACTTCCTCCAACATGAAGTAGCCATGCAGCGACACACTACTGCTGGAAGCACGGCTAAAGGGTTAAAGTTCCACGGCCGTAGTATCCATTGACAGCCTTGTCTTACACGTTGTAATGAGCGCCTTGCGTAAATCTCATACATATCCTACGAGGGTAATTGTTCACTGCCAGATTGATATCCAATATATAGTCAGCAGAAACTGTCTGTGTGGTAGCTTGTTGTTTAACGCCGCAAAAGCAATATTCCAACGATATGACGTCTGTAAATAATCGAGTCTGGACCAGACAATTCAGTGATAAACATCATGAGCATCGATCCACGCAATTCTGATACAATAACAAGCATAAACGAAGTCAGTGAGCCTGACCATCCGATCCCGTTTATCGCCTCTTACGGCAAGCAAAGTCTCCTCTTACGACAAGCATGGGTTGCTGAAGACCTATGCTAATTTTGGTATGAGGCGGCAAGGGATCTACCGCTCTCCAGGCAGACGCTCTATTCACTTGACCACGGAGCCGGTTCGATGGTCTTGAACAAGCATGAGGCACTGAGGACACATCCTAACCCGAAGTTCCCACAAAGCTCTTACTGACCTGACCACCCGATCCCTATCAGAAACTGACCTGAGTCTTGTACGTCTTTGAGACCGACCATTTAACAGTCTTTAACAATACCAAAACACCACGTACCTGGCACACAGTCATAGAACACTCTGACATAGTCGGCAAACTCCCTGTGCGAGGATTCTTTAGGCAAGGGGATCACATAGGTGAGTTTCTTGTCGCAATATCTCTGTCCACTGCAGGAGGTGATGGTGTCAGAGTACAAGTAGTGGGAAAGAGGCCCCGTTGCGTTTTGGATTCCAGGACACTTGGAATCGAACAGTAGATCACTGGGATGATATCTGCAACACCTTTCCTTTTCGGTCGGATCCATGGTGATTGCGTCCTTCTTACAGGTAGCAACCTCCACCTTCGACCCAATGAAAATATCCTTGATAACAATGCTTTCATTTGTGCAGTTCATCTGCAGGGATTCCTGACTCCTTGCCGGATTGGCACATATATTCACCCCGTTCAAGTTCACTGGGTGGTTTTCTTCGCATACTTCGATCCCTGAAATTAGAAAAAGGTCAGTGAGTATTGCAAGTCCTAACTGCATGGAAGGAAATATTGGCAGATGGTCAAGTAGGCGCTAGGTGTTACACGCAAGCGTACGTGCAGTTATTCCATCTGACAAGGTGATGCATGTTGATATACTAGCAAACAGGGGCAGATATGCGAGCATTATTTGTGTGGGCATACAGGCATACACGTGCAGTTTGTTTGTTTGTTTGTTTGTTGTTTAACGCCGCACACAATATTCCAGCTATATGACGGCGGTCTGTAAATAATCGAGTCTGGACTAGACAAGTCAGTGACGGATGTCGTGAACGTCGACCTACGCAAATGGATCGATATTGTGAGCAACAATCAACGCCGTTAGAGTACGATGACATGCATCAGCCAAGTCACCGAGTCCGACCGCCCGATCCCGTGTGTATCCTCTCAACCAGCATCGGTTGCTGGGGTTGCTGGGGTTGCTAGGGTTTCTGGTGATATGCGGACAAACCTGTACCGATATACATGTAGTAGTATACGGACGTGTAGCTATACCTAGTTCCAGATAAATACCACCATAAATATGGGTGGATACTTGAGACAAATATTTCCACGAGAATGTGTGTGGGTATACTAGCACACATATGTAGATGAATGCCGGCATACAAATCGGTTGCTATACTGGCACCTATTTTGGGGAAAATTCCAACACGAGTATGTATGGATATACTGGCTCCTGTCTGTAAACAAATACCAGCATTAGAACTTCAACATACAAGCACCTATTTAATGATAATATACTAGCAAGAATATACGTGGATATACTTCCACCTAGTTCTACATAAATACCCGCATGAGTATATGTTGATATACTAGCTCCTATTTTTAGATACATACTGGCAAAACAAGTAACATCGAAATACCAGCTTATGCGAAACACATAGTCAATGCAAAAATGTCTTTAAAATAATACAAATCTCTTCGAAAGAACCTATCCTCTACTGCTGTTTTCATATGTGGAATCAAGCAAACTAGACTTGGTTAGTTTGATCAAGACTTGCCGAGGCTTTTATTAAAAAGAAATACCTCAAATATATAAATTCCACAGCCATGGCGCAGGACTGGTGTATTTAATACGAGCACATATTTCTCGATTATGACAAGCATGTAGCAATATACCAACAACTGTTTAAAAGGAAACAATACTCGTTACTAAATCACCATGTCTATATACACGTATACATAATATTGATTTACAAGTATGCCCATTCGAATATGACAGGTGCTTCCGTGTAACGTTATCTCATTGAGACGACAGCAGTTTCACCTTTTTCGTTACGGTTGAAATGAGAATAAGATCGTTTTGCTATCAATCAAAATAATCCATTACGTTGATGATTTATTGTCATCCTTGCAAAAAGGTTTCATGTTCATATCAGCAGATGGGGGGTACATATCTTCCAGTCAGTGACATATATTTTGCAATAAAACATGCACGCGGACAGTTTATGAGAAACACACTTCATCCACGCGCGAGGAGGAAGATAATCCTGAGTCTTAACCGCTTCTCTCATTACGTCGCTCGCTCTGAACTCCACACTGTCGTTGCGGGGATGTTGTTCTACATTCCAGATGTCGTACCACATACAGAAAGCACTTGCTTGCGTTTCTCCATTTACACCGTAATCTATTATGTCACTGCATCAAGAAACGGAAAGAAGCATTTAGCCACAATGGCGTCAATCCATTTTCATTAAGGGCGAAAAGGATTCCCAGTACGTCTCAGCGTTATGTGAACCCGATAGCAGTTTGTAATGCCGCGGTAAATGTATAGTTATAACGGTGTGGGGGTTAAGATGATTTGAACAGCGTAACGTTGACGACATATAAGCCTTGGGACCGTTGTAGTCACTAAACTAGTGCGAAAGATCACAGTCGTGGTATGGACTTCATGCCGGTAAATGGATTGGGAATTTGCATGTTATAAAAGCCTTTGATTATTAGCCACGTAAAGAAATTGCATCCCTTAACACATTCAATCAGCGACACCGTAGGGGTCAAACTTTTTCACCCAGGCACGTGCAGACAATGCTTTTTTATCGACGAATGGTTTGCACGTAAAGAGTTCCTGAAAGTTTTGGAGCGGCGGAAGTTACTGATTTCTTGCGGAGTTAGTTACAAAAACAATCGTTGATTATTACCGATAACGGTATTGGTAGTATATTAATAATTAATGAAAGCACATATGCATGTTATTTATAGCATACAAAGGGCCGATGTATTACACTGTAAGATGTAGCAGGATCACTCGGGGTACATAGGGTTTTATGCGTCTCTCGTTATGCGTCGCCCGAGTGGTACACACCCTAACGAGGGACGCATACAATCCCATGTACTCCGTGCGACATGTTTTAATGATATTGTAAAAGAATTAAAACAAATTCAAAATTAATGGAAAACAGCTTTTCGATTGCACTTGTGCTATTGCGCGTGGCTTTCATTGGCTCAAAAATCGTGGGGCTTTTCGCTTCGAAACGGGGTAAAAGGGGTTTATTCTGCCTCTCAGAAATCCACGTGCAAGCCTGACTTGTTCGTGGCGGGGAATAAGGGATGTATTCTGCCGCTGATACATTTACTTCCCTCCAAAGCGAGGTAGATAGTATTTCGTCAAGATCACGTGGACGAATCAGATCTCATCATTCTGACATGGAGTTATGATAAAGTATTCTATCAAGATAACATGGACCAATCAAATCTCATCATTCTGACATGTAGGTATGATAAATTTATTTCTCCCGCGCGTCAATGGAATTCTCCTGGGTGTGGGATATGCGCGAGATGTTGAATGGCATTACATGAATACAAATAAGTCTTCCGTTGGTTTCAATGGTATCATTTTCAAATCGTTGTGATCAGTGGTTGAATGTTTTGAATGTTCTTGTTTTAATATTTTTATGCCGAACGCCAGACAGGGAAAACAACGAGAAACATATTTTAACGTCTTTTTGTAAGACACGGCCCGGGATCGATACCCCGGCCTCCGAACGCTCTACCACTAGACCACGGAGGCGGTCGAACGTTTGAGTCTGGACCAGGCAAACCAGTGGTTGATAGCATGACAGCTTCCCACCTGTTCCTTCCGGTCGACTTTAGTCGGCGTTACGAGTATCTGCCGCTGAATCCGCGCCAGGCATCATTAACGTGTATAAAAAAAGTTTTCACCTAAAATGACATGCAATAGTTTAATACCGCGGAAAGATGGCTTCACGGTGTAGCTGACCTCGTGTGCACATGACCAATGTTCACATGACATATGACACATCTGCACATGACACGAATCTGTCAATAAGCTGAACCGATCACATCATGACGACTGAATTATAGATTTACATGATCGACTGTTTAAACAAGGACAAAAGAAACATATTTTATGTATGTGTGACCCGAGTCCTCATTCCGAAAACAAACACTCAGCAGGATTACAAACACTCTCGCGAATCTGGGCGGGTCCTTTGAGCCGAGGCGCAATAAAATATTTACAACATGCCGTCATTTATGTAAACATCCCATAATATCAATCAACTCCCGTGGAGCGTTAACCAGTCAAGCTGTTGAAGTGGGTCGGCAGTCAGTTGAGTGACAGGAAAAGCACTGCCTGGCTTGAGAAATATATCCAAATTACACGGGGACCACACGTGGGCCAACACCGGTTATGCAGCAGTACGGCTATGTGTACTTGATGGCGCGATGGCGCCATGTGCTACAATAACGTGACCTTCACCTTTCAGCAAGATAGACATGCAATTGGCGAACACTTTAATCGTGGTGACTTTGGTAATACGCCCAATAGCGGCAGACGTTAAGTCATTGAGCTTGATCAAGATTAGTTGGACGGGATGTAGGTGTGTAGACGACAAAGGAGAACAATGGCTACAAACATGGATGCATTCGTCACCACTCGCCTCTTTCCGTAACCTGCCCACGAGAAGGGCACGGGTCGCTATTCGGCTTGTCCCGGAATAACACGAGTTGGTCACGAATGACATGGATGAACGGGCGAGCTGGCGTTAGGCATTCGTGACCAAATCGTGTTATTCCGGGACAAGCCGAATAGCGACTCGTGCCCTTCTTGTGGACATTTTTGCGATTGGGTTCCGTCTAAGCAAAAATGGGCATAGCTAAAAGAACTACCATCTCGTTGCGTAATGATTCATATATATATTTCTCCCATATATCATATATTATTATTCCAGATGCAACTGAAACCACATCGGACCTAACAGCATTATACAGTATGATTGAACACATTTACCAGCATTTCGGTGTATTTTTAAATGCAAGACATGTAAAATCAAAATTATTCCTGAGGGATCCTTTGACCGAAGTACTTGAAGTCATTCGCGGATTTTGATTGGTTTGTTCAAAGACGTATATAGAATGTATATACGTCCGTGGTTTGGCGTATTTTCGCACGTAACACTCATCGATAGGGATAGAGTCTTCTTGTAGGTTACGGAAAGGGGCGAGTGGTGATGAATGGGCTTTTAGGATTGTCGGGAAACCGTGTGGGTGTTGATTTTGTGGTGTGTGTGTGTGTGTGTGTGTGTGGGGGGGGGGGGGGGGGGGGGGTGCTTCAGTCGGTTCGTCGGTCCGAAGTCGGGAGAGAAACAGGTGTCGCAATTACACATCGAATTATTTACCAATGAGAGAGAAACGTTTGACAAAAGCGAACAAAGATCAACCTCTCGACATTCCGGAATCACAATACGCCATTGTAAGTGTATCCTGCTGATGGCGTAACTACCCGCCCTGCTGGCCTGCTAACATTGCGCGACTCTGACTAATTAAGTCACGAGCTAGTGAACAAAGGTCAGATTCCGATTACTTAGCACGTCTAGATCTACTTCGACGGGAATATAGCAACACATAAGTCGCGCCCTTTCAAGAGTCGGAAGTGGTGTCGCATTATCGATTCATGAATACGTCTACGCAACGTTGTTATCTGGGATAACATA